CTCTCTTTCTTTTTGAGAAAATAGGGACAGGATAATAACTTAGGTTCTTATTATTCTCTAGGATTAGAGATAACATATGAGGTACCAGTTCTTGGGGGGAAAGTTGGCCTCATCTGAGGACTTTTCCCAGGAAAAGCTTCAAAATAGTCCTTTCATATGAAGCCCTTAATCCAGCTGGGTTTGATTTTTGCATAAAGTATGAAGTAGGCAATCAATATTTCCAATAACTGATTCCAGCATCACTTATGAAATTGTCGATATTTCCCTCCCTGATCTATGATGGCAGCTAGTCTATGTCGATACTTTTGCATTTGTCTTAGTATTCTTTTGGGCTTGTTTCTATTCTATGGGGCTATTGCTAAGACACTGCCACATTATCTTGGTCATTATTGAATTTTAGTAGATCTAAATATTTGGGAAGAAAAGTCTCTCATCTAATTCTTCTCCAAGAGCAGTTGTTCTCAACCTTCCCAATGCCACAACCCTTTAATACAGTTCCTCTCGGTCACAACCCACATGTTGAGACCCGCTGTCCAAGAGTATCTCAGCTACTCTGAATCTTCTGTTCCTACATATAAATTTTAGGATAATCTTTTCAAGTTGTCTAGAATGTCCTATTAGGACTGTGGTTAAAGTTTTATTGAATTTATATATTGACCTGGGAATTAGTGACATCTTTATTATATTGTCTTCTTATTTATGAACTGGGAATGTTGCTATATTTATGTAAATATAAATATTTTTCTCCTTTCCTGTCCTTCAGTAAAACTTTTCTGCTCCTGGGTACCATGCTCTATATAGGTTGAACCATGTAACGTAGAGTTTGGAAGCCAACACAATACATTCAAACAATGATTCCCAGTCCAGACTGTCTTTGGTTGAGAAGATTGTCTACATTCTATGCTGCAGGTCTCAGGAATGAGTGGGAGAGAGAGCAGAAGAGAGAGCCCCCAAGGCTCACTCCAAAGTGTTGGCAAGGATGTGGAGCAAAAACTTGCTGGCAAGAACAGAAATAGGGAAATCATTTGGGAAAATAATTTGGTATTACATAAAATTGTCTTTTAGAGTTTTTCTTGACTAGTAACCAGCAATTCTGTTCTGATATTTATTCTTATTAAATAAACTCTAGGTCTGCACTGTCTAACATAGCATGTGAAGGACCATATAAATAGCTTCTTCTGCACAGCTAAGAAAATAATGAACAGAGCAAACCTATAGAATGGGAGAAAATATTTGCAAACTACACATCCAGTAAAGCAAGAGAAAAACCAAAACATCTCAAAATGTGGGCAAAGGGCATGAACAGAAGTTTTTCAAAAGAAGATAAGTAAATGGCCAACAAACATATGAAAAAATTCTCAATGTCACTAACCATCAGGGAAATGCAAACTAAAACCATAATGAGTTATCACCTTACCTCAGTCAGAATGGCTTTTATTACAAAGGCCAAAAACAGGCCAGGTGTGGTGGCTCATGCCTTTAATCCTAGCACTCTAGGAGACAGAGGTGTTTGGATTGCTTGAGCTCAGGAGTTTGAGACCAGCCTGGAGACAGTGAGACCCTGTTTCTACTAAAAAATAGAAAAAACTAGCTGGGTATCATGGCAGGCACCTTTAGTCCCAGCTACTTGGAAGGCTGAGGTAGGAGAACTACTTGATCCCAAGAGTTTGAGGTTTCTGTGAGCTATGATGAGGAAGGTCATGACACTCTACACAGGGCAACAGAGTGAGACCCTGTCTCCAAAAAAAAAAAAAAAAAAAGGCCAAAAACATCATGCCAGTGTGGATGCAGAGGACTGCTTTTATGTGTACAAATAAATTAGTGCAAATCCCTATGGAAAACAACATAGAGATTTCTCAAGAACTAATAGTAGACTGCCATCAGATTTAGCAATCCCACTACTGAGTATCTATCTCAAGGAAAAAAAGCCATTTTCTCGAAAACAAACCTGTGCTCAAATATTTATTGCATCACAATTCACAATTGCAAAGATATGGCATCAACCCAACTATGAATCATTTCATGAGCTGCTTTATAAAATGTGGTATATGTATACCATGGAATACTACTCAGTCATGACAAGGGATGAATTAATACCTTTTGCAGCAATTTGGAAGGAATTAAGAATCATTATCCTGAGCAAATTATCTTTTTTTTTTTT